CCAAGCCGTCGGCTCAGAGCAATAGTTCTCGTAGCAACGCCGCAACTGGGTTATGGGCTGCTGAAGTGATGATCGGCCGCCTGGAGGCTAAGCTCCTCATTCTGCATAATCCATAGTTTGATAATTATTCATTCAATGAAAGATTGTTAAGTGCTCTGAAGCCCTATTCATATCGCTTGCGGACTTGTTTGCCCACGCCACGCACAAGCATCAGTCGTAGCTTCTGAGCAGAGGTTGCTCGACCTACTCGAACGACCAAATCCTCTACGAGTTTATTCTTCGTTATGTACACTGCTACAGTTGATTCTATCCAATATATTTAGCAAAAGCACAACTATATATGGTAGCAGGCGACGTTTCCGACTTGTCTCTAGAGCAGCAGCGCAGGCAAATCAGTGTCTCTGCAGGGGAACACTGTCCCCGCCACGGGCATCTTGCATTGGTACGTGCATCCAGCGCGGCGCAGATGGCGCGTTGCTGCAGAACCCAGGTAATACACCCCGCGAATTCCTTTATCTTGGATGCTTGGGCTATCAGTAGGCTTCTTCTCAAGCAAGGAATGTCAGATCACTGGTTCCGGCTCGTAATCATCTCTCGATACCTACGCATCCTGCGAGATCTGGCCATTCCTTCCCCTGCGGTTGCGAGCAGCGTGAAGCGTCACAACTTAGAGCCTGCTTGCTTGAGCAGTATTTGAAAATCTCCAGTGCGCATCCTTTGGGGATGGGCATAACATGAGTTGAATATCTTCGGTAGGTTTGCCATCACGTGCGTAGAACCCGTAACCAGAACCAGGGTCCGGCGGGTGGATTCAGCGCCTAGCTCACCAGGGTCCGGCGGGTGGATTCAGCGCCTAGCTCACAACCCATGCCGGAATTTCTGTCTCTGACCGACCGTTTTAGTGAGGGTGCCCTACGTGAGTTGCCGTTCCCACCCACAGTATCGAGAAGGGGACGAGCCCGCGGAGATGTGCACGCCAGTTCCACTAGCCCGTTGCACAACAAGCGGCACAACGGCCGTACTGCCGTCGCACTTGGTGCATTTGTTCGTAGGTTAGCCATCACGTGCGCAGAACCCGTAACCAGAACCAGGGTCCGGGGGGTGGATTCAGCGCCTAGCTCACAACCCATGTCGGAATTTCTGTCTCTGACCGACCGTTTTAGTGAGGGTGCCGCACGTGAGTTGTCGTTCCCACCCACAGCACCGAGAAGGGGACGAACACGGGGAGATGTGAACGGTGGTTCGTCTAGCCCGTTGCACAACAAGCGGCATAACGACCATACTGCCGTCGCATTTGGCGCATTTGTTTCAGCTCTTGCTATCCTGTTCCTGTTGTCCCACTGCCGGGCGTTCAGTAAAAAGGCGCTACAAAAACGTGTGGGGCGAAGGTTGGCTGGAGAGCAGGAGACAAAAGGTGGTGGGAGTGCAGGCTCCGCTCCAGAAGTATGCGGGGGGGGAGAACCCTCATCAGATACAGCTGCCCACAGCCACAAGAGACCACGAGACCCCTCATGGGGAGATCCTTTTGGAGAGGAGAGTGAAGATGACGGGGAGCCGCTGAGCAAGATGTGGCACGGAGGGTCCGATTGGCAACAGGCTGGTTCACCAACCCCTTTCCATGATATCGAGTCTGCGGCAAAGTCTGCAGAAGACGAAGAGGCTGCTCTAGGCCTTTCCGAGAGAATTCTCTCGCTTGTCGAGGAGATCTTGTCTGAAGTCAGGTTTGCCCGAGGACGATTCCTCTGGTAGCGCTTCCCCTGGGGAAGGATCAACTCAAAGCAGCAACCTATCCTCAGGCGAGACAGTCTCACCTTTAGATGCACAGATAACTTCGCCTTCTCCGGGAGGCACCAACATGCAATCAGTAGAGCCGTTGCACGCTGCGCAAGGTGAAAGTAAAACAGCTGTTCTCTTCGAGTTCATAATTGGCCAGCCGGGCAGCAAGGGAGCTTATATGATCGTGGGTAGCGAGATTTCGGATCCCCAGGTACGTCGTCGCGTGTACGTTTCTGCTCCCGCCTAACCCCTGTGTAGACCAAAAATACCGAAAGTAGCTAGGGTTTCCTTGGGAACCAGAAGCAGCAAGCACACACGCAGAGTGTCCAGAACCCTATGCGATGCGTCTGACGTGTGGAAGCCAATGCGCATCTTTGCAGATATCTTATTCTGCACGTGCGCCTGTACAATGAGTTGGATATCTGCTTGTGTGTTTCCCTTGTTCATTATATATTGGCTTTTCCGCTGGTGTGTATTTTTTACAGCTGAGTAGTTGTGTGCTGTGTCCATCGAATTGTCCGCTAGGGAAGGATATCGCTGAAAATTGTGTCTTACGAACTTACGCGTACGCCAGTGGCACAGCAAAGTCGTTCCAAAGTGGACGTCGGAACGCATCCCTTTTTCAGGCTCCCAAGTGTTGGAAGTGATGCTTCGGTTAGAGATATCGTGCTAAAAGCTTGGCCAGGGCCTCGCCGAAGGACGTTGTGCGAAAGTGCTTCTCTATTGCAAATTAGCAAAGTTTTGAAAAAGCCTTTTCTGGACTCTGTCGACCTCGAGGTTCTCATGGAAGCCCTCGAAAAGCTT